TTAGGGTTTATAGGGTAGGGTTTATAAGGGCTTAGGGCATGTTGGGTTTAGAGGGGTAATGTCTTACAAGCTTCAAGTTGCTGTGCATCCTTTCAAAATACGCAGGCTGTACTGCAAAACCAAGACTTAGCATATAGTTATACAAATACATATCCTTGCTAATCTATCCCGGGGACCTATACTACCCTAAGTAAAAGCCCAGGGACCCACTACCCCAAAAGAAACCCTCCACTTGCATCTGTGCCCCATCATAGGCCAACACGTCATCCTCGCTGGCTTCGGATGCTTCCACAGCCACAACTGCAGCCTTGGCAGCAGCGGTGGAAGTTGCCCCGATACTTGGCACAAACTACAGTGTTGTTTGAAGGATAGCTCACCATGTCTGATTGTGTGGCACTATGTTTTGCTGAGAATGTCGACTCCCTCACCGCTCTCTCGCTCCTATACCGCTGATTCTTTGGAGTTGGGTGAAAGCGCGACCACACCTCCGGATACGAAAGTTGGTCGCAGTGTGAAGCGTGAGCTCTTCAGCCCAGTGCAGCCCAACACCACCCAAGTCCCGAGTGCTGTGCAGAAGGCGAAAGACTTTTTGGCAAGACGCACAAAGGCGAAGTCAGGTGCTGGGTGGCTGCTGCCGGCCCCGAAAGGTGCTGTGAACGCTTTGGCCCCTACAAAGAGTGGTGCTGTGAACCCTTCGGCCCCTACAGACAGTGGTGCTGTGAACCCTTCGGCCCCTACAAACAGTGGTGCTGTGAACCCTTCGGCCCCTACAAACAGTGGTGCTGTGATCCCTTCGGCCCCTCACAGTGGTGCTGTGAACCCTTCAGCTTCATCCATGCCACCCAAAGCAACTGGTGTTGTGGTGACTACGAACCCTACGGTCCCAATCAAGTCCGAGTGTTTGGCTTTGGTGAGATCTCCCCCACCAAGGCAAGCTCGTGCTCTCTGTGACTCAGCCCAAGGGCCAGTGGCAAAGGCTGGACCCGCCGTCAAGAGCTGTGCTGTTCCACCGCCTCCCACTGTGGGTTGTCCGGCTCCCGCTCCCACTGCTGTTGCTCTTTGCCTGTGCAAAAACAAACCGGCCCCACCTCCGGCCAAACTGGCTTTGCTAGTGGCTGCTCCAGATGCCAAGGCTGCTGCTCCGTGTGCGGCCAAGTCTGGTTTGGAGAATGGACTTGATGGCCAAACCAACAAAAAGGCAAAGATGGCTCCCCCTCCTACACCTCTTGTAAAGTCTGAGGCTGCCCCTAGCCACTCCCCAGTGCCAAGTGCGAATGAGAAACAGCTGATGCAAAGTGTGGGCAAGCTGCATGTCATGAATGAAGAGGCCAGGTTTATAACCCGTATGTTTGCACTACCCAGTGATAACCCTATCAGCCTGCCAAACCCCAACCCCAAAACCCCTAAACCCTTACGCCCTATTGAACCCTAAATGCCTAAACCTGTTTGTGCCCCTGAGATGGCTATCTTTCCGGAAACCTATGAGGAAAGGCAGAGCTTGTATGCCTGCTTCAAAAGGCTGCTTGGATCCAACATTTTGGTTTGCAATAATGAAAGCCTTTGTTCTGTGCACCCCATCTATGTATGTAAACGGTGCTAAGGAAGCTGACCAAGGGCACCGAGGTCCCGGAGGAGTTCGCAGAGTTATGGGTTCAGGCTTGTAGCAGCAACTCCCGGAGTGCTAAGACGGCACTATTCCACAAGTGGCTCTCTGCTGGCAAAGACTTCGGAAAGCTACATAGCTGCAAACTTCGATTCAATAATTGCCGATCCCACGCTCACCCCAAATGCAACCCCTTTCTCTGACAAGGTTCATGATCCAGCTCGACCGCACCCGCACAGATTCCACACGAGGAAAGCAGAAGATGGGTGCCTTTGCTGCAGTTGAAGCTTATGATGCACTTGCATCGTTGAGCTCATTCGGGTACCGGCTGGAGAGCTTGCATCCCTTAATCCTATTGCAAACCTGGTTTATGTAGCTCTAGAGAAATATTATATGGAGAGAGAGAGAGAGAGAGA